TTTACCCTTAAGTTCATGCCTAGAAGCAACGTGCATGTTCCTATATTGGTTATAGGATTTGACAGTCGTTCCAACTAGTTTAGATGAGCAACGTGAAGATTAGAAACAAGACTGGGCTTGAATCTTCAAACAGTGTAGGACATGGATATATGAAAATTGTCCCATACAAACTGCTATAGCTTCTCTCCCCCCCCCCCTCTCTCTCTCTCGTCCCCTTTTGATAATTGATCACTAAAAGACGCGGCTCTAGCATCCGTGGCTGATAGTGGAAATCAGAACCTTCGAGATCCACCTTGACTTTGTGCATGAAACATCAATATCTTGCTTGATATCTGCACTAGAAGTTACAGATTCACAATTAATAAAGAAGAGACATCCGTATCCTAGAGTATTTGCCGACACAAGCTCCTAGTATGTAATAGGGGGATTCAAATCTGTGCAGTATGATTGACTATGAAACCCTGAATTTTACTTTGCTCATTGAGTTAATTCATGTTCATGCTATGAGTTCTTAGTCAACTTAACATCACCGAAAAATTATGGTAAAGAGAACTCAAGGGGCTGGGCTGTGTCTCAAAATACAAAGACATCGAGGGCCACTTAAATATTTCTGGAGAGTGTTCACATCGGAGGCTATAGGATGACATATCCATCCTGCTTGTCCAATCTTGAAACGCCACATGGAACCACTGTGGCTACATCTTCTGTATCAGACAATAGTTTACTTATTGCTACCGCAAAGTCAGGGGCAAACAATTATGAGGTTTGGTGAATAACGCCAAAGGCTCACTTATTTGGTCTTGTCCCTGCCATTTCCTTCGTCCCTCCGTGACCAGTAGCATATCTTCTTGCTGCTCGCCTTCATGCACATGTCTGTGTAGTTTAGTCATTCATGTTCTGCAGCATGGTTTGTCACATCAAGCTCCACTCTTTGGAAAATGATAAAAATGAATAAAAGAAAGTAAGCTGGAAATTGGAGCAGTCTGGTAGAATTAGCGCACACTATTTGGCAGTGCCAAGAACTTTTTGGTTGTCCATTTGAATTTGACTTTCATTACGGGGTACCCTCATTTGGACTTTTGGATTTTAATTAGCAAAAGACTTGCCAAAGCCACCAAAGTGGTGCTTGCGAACAATGCAGAATTTATTCAAATAAATGATTTAAAGAACGTCTTCTCAATGAGATTATTGTATTGTATATGCATGTTGTTTTCAGTGTTAATGATTTGTCTTGTTTGTTCTCTGTCTCGGTATCTGCTGACATGCTCTTCAATTTTTCGCCCCCTTTACCCACCAGTCCTAAAGTTTAAGATTGCCTTGAAATTAATTAGCTAGTCACTTAAAATTTGGAATTTTGGCCGAAATTAGTGAAAATATTTAAAGCTCAAGAAGGAAAAGATTATTGAAGTTGCAATAGTTTACACTTCGAACGTGGGCCATTAATTATTTAATCGCTTGTCCATCAATGACATGAATTTTTTAATATCAGTTGTTGCCCTCTAGATTGGAACAGATTTTGATGGCTTAACCAATAATTGCTCCACATCCAAAAAGATAATATATAGCAGAACCAACGGACATGAATTCTCCAAAGGAACATTGAACAACAAGCAATCAAATAGACAGGGCATGCGCCTTGCGTCCCCCAACCTTAATTTTCTGGCAAAACAAACAAGAGAGTGTCATTTGGTGTCCTGTTTGCGTCTGTAATTTAAGCTTCTTAAAGATTAATTCGCATCCAAACTATTAAGGTTGTCCTTCCCTGATAAATGTATCAGAAATAAGTTAAGGTCATGGCTTTATATGGCTTTAAAATCCTACGTTGTTGTGGGGCCATGTAAAGGCAGAAATTTGCGACGATGGGGCCTAATCAAAACAATTAAAATTGTTAATGTTTGTAAGGAGTTGTCTTGTTCTAACTAATTTGTATCTTCACGAAACTTGATACTGAAACAATCTCTCACCCCCTTTTCTCTATTTAAGCAGCTTTTATCAGTGAAAGTTGCTCCTACAACACAGTGGAAGCAAAAAGGCTAAAGCTTGAGAGCACCAGAACTAGAACTTTGAGCCATGTCAGGCCAAAAGAGCTGCGGAGCTTCAAACTTGAACGAGAATGAGATTGATGATCTTGTGTCAAGGTTACAAGCACTTCTGCCACGCCAGAACCGAAGGACTGACTCAAGGGTATGATATTTGCCAAGACATATCAACATTTATTCTGTGCAACTATAACTACAGCTTTTTTTAATCAAAGAACACTGCAACTCAAGATCAATTCACTTTTTCTTGTGGAAGTTCCTCGTATTTCAGTTGTGAACAAAGCATAGGCCCGTTCACTCCTGATGATTTTAAGGATCATTTACTTATGAATAACGGGGTGACAAGAATCTTGCCCTCGATTTTTTTGGTTATAGGGAGAAATTCTAAACCATGTAAACGATCGCTCCTTTAGAAGTTTATTCTATAACACGAAAGTCCAGCATTAATAAAACAGGAGTTTGTGGGTATGTGGTGCAGGTATCAGTGTCGAAGATCTTGAAAGAAACTTGCAGTCACATCAAGAAGCTACAGAACGAGGTGGAAGAGCTCAGTGAAAGGCTAATAGAGTTAATGGATTCCGGTGACATAAGGGATATAGACGAGGAGACTCTTAGAAGATTGTTGCAACATTGACAAATATGAAGCCTCTAGAGTCTAGGCCATATCACCTACCTCTTGGCTTTTTCTCTTCTCTGTTGCGTACCCTGTGTTGTCGGGCTTCGACCACTATATATTTACTGTATCAAACATATCTAGTATGTGATATCTTGTCGTTGAAATGCTACCAACCTGCCATATGCTTGGTTCAATGTGTGAAATGAACAACTCTGTGCCATTTATGAGGAATTAATCTCTTTTCTGCTTTAATGTATCCAGGGAAATTGAAATTATAACTTGAAAAAATAGTAATAAATTTTTTAATATATAAAATAATAATTTAATTCTTTAAAATATCATAATTTTTATAAAATTTTTAAAAACTTTTCTATCATTAATGAATTTATATAAATTATTAAATTATCCTTGTTAAAAATAAGCAATTCACAAATTTTATTTAAATATTCACAACAATGCAATAGCAAAATACAACTTTACATATTAATTTTTTATTTGTTATTGTATTGTTGTGAATATAAAAAGGTAAATATTTAAATAAAACTTGTTAATTATTTATTCTCAATAAGAAAAATTTAATAATTTATATAAATTTATTAATAACAAAAAAATTTTTAAAGACTTCAAAAAAATTATAATATTTTGAGGCACCAAATTGTTATTTATACATTTTAGATGAATTTTATTGTTATTTTTCCTTATAACTTCAACCTCCTAATCTATGGTCATATGATCTGAAAATTTTCCATCTAGTAAATTAATTAACATAATCCCTCTCTTCAAAAATATAAAGTATTTTTGAGGAGTTAAATGTTCAAAAATGTAAGGCATTTTTAATCTTTTGAGGTGTAATCATTATCGTTTTTTAAAAGTGTCCCTATTGACAATGACTTTATATTTATTATAAGGTGTTTAATAAGGGTAAGTATGAAAAGATAGGATTATTTAAAAGTAGGTAATTATTTTATTTGGGAGTGAGATTTGATTAAAAAAATTTTATATTTTTAAAAAGAGAGAGTATCTAAAAGTTTGGGAAATTTTTATGTTATCCTTTTGTTTTAAAATTGTACTTAGTTCTCATTTGAGTTATTTTTTAACGAGTTAGTTTTTAGTATATGATATGAGAATTTATTTTGAAATGTAATTATTTTCTTGCCTCTTCAATGGAGCTCCCTCATGCCGAAGCGACTAGAAGTCACAGATCGCCCGAACAGGTATGGCTCATCATGAAGTCTAGGCATACTTTTCCTCTTGCAAATTAAAAAAAAAAACTAAATTTCAAATCAATTTTCTTGGCCAACAAATTTCAGATCAATTGAAAAAAATAATTCGCGTATATGAAATATAATCCATATCCACATGTCTATAAAAGTTGAAATTGAAAAAAATCATTCGGCCTAATGTTACATGATTTATTTTAGGCTCCTTGCACAGCAGGCAGACATACTAGTTATTTTTATAACATCCATAAAAACGTTGTAGAAATCCAACATTACTTTTATACAGACAATGTCGCCATTGAAAAAGCCTTATACTGACAAGTTTGGCTCCAAATGATCAGAATTAATTAGGGCTAATGCAGCTCCTAAAAATTAGTTGATACATTTAAAAAAAAAGTTTTAAAACAAAAGCTCATCCATGCAACTTTTTTTTCCTACCAACATCCATGTAACTTAATCAAAATGCTGAGAAACTAATGTAATTTGTAATTTTTTTTTAAATCTGAAAAAGGTTTGAATCTTTAACTCTCACCCAAACCATCACAGACCACCCTAACCTTAGGTAATCGATAAACCCTAATTATTACCTTATTATTACTAACTAATATCGTAAAATCTATAACATTCATTCTTGGCCGAAAATCATGAAGTTAAATGGGATGCGCCTTCCTCCGAAGTCCCAAACATATAAAGAACAAATAAATAGGATGGTACTTATTTTGGTTTTTTGGCCGTCAAATGAATAGGGTGGTATTGAAGGAGTTGTTGACCACCAATTTGGGCACAAAAATGGCTTTATGTCTCGCCAAATTTTGAAGTGGCTTTACTCAGTCAGGCCACTTATCCCTAATCTTTTGTTGCTTGCGTGGCCTTTGACTGTCTTAAAAAATGGGTTACTTGCAGGCTTGTATCTCCTTTTCCATTTCTATTTTTAAATTCGTCAATAATTTCGTCCAAATGGTGTTAGACATATTTGTATACGGAGGTAACGACAAGGTTAGATGTAAAACTAACAAACCCCCCCCCCCCAACCAAAAAATAATAACCAAATTAATAAAACAGTGTCGCATGGGATCTCTTTTTTTTTTGGGGGGGGGGGGTTTTGTTTAAGGATCACATTCAGTATTAAATCATACATAAGAGTTATATGAATTCATATTCAACACAAAACATCCATTGACAATTTTCCCTGGGACATCATTAGATTGCGCACAAAATGGTTGAGGTGCCACAAGAAAAAAGAAGAAATTTTCTGTACCAAAAAAAAGTTTTTGATATATATATTCATATGACAATAATAGAGACCATTTAGAATGCAGAAGTAAAATAGAATCTACAATTCACATATAGAGCGCAATCACGTTACCATTATGTGTTGTTTAAGCTCTATCAACAGAATTTTCAATGGAGGCGCACATTGAAGCGTTGCAGCAAGATGCGAATATTTGCAGCGATGGCTAAGCTGTTGCTTGTGTACTCCCTCGACCTCTGCATCTTCCCCTTCACCTCCCCCAGCTCCGCCGACTCCGTCTCCTCCAATCCATCCAAACACGTTTCCTGATCCGTCAACGCCGCGCTGATCCACGTCTGTATGTCGTTGATCTTCGCATCCGTCAACGCCTTGTCGCCGGGAGCCACATCCATCGCCAACACCGAGTCGTTGAGTCGACTCAGCGCGTCATCGATCTGATCCTTACAATCAGAGAGAGCCAACGCGTATGAGGTCGAAGCCAAGCTTCTGAGGGAGGACGACAGGTTAGAAAGCTCGTCGTGGGAAACACGGAGAGACAGCTTGAGAATGGATTCGGGGTCGTTAGGGTTTTGGAGGGAAGCGGTGAGGGAGGAAATACTGGAGCAGCAGGAGGCCGGGAAGTGCGTGACGTTGCAGACGGTTCTGATGGAGGAGGCGATGTCGGTGTTGACGGCGGAAGGGGCCGATCGGGATTCCGGTGGTCCGGAATCGGATGAGTGCATGAGAGCTCCGAGCGTGACTCCGATGGTGAGAGTGAGGAAGAGGATGGCCAAAACAGAAACGGTGGCGACAAGGGTATTGCGCTTGGGAGATGCAGGGAGAGAAGACTGATCTTCGAGGTGATCACCTACTTTGCCATAGCCATGGAAGAATTTGAAGGAATCCATGGTTGGGTCTGGGAAGAAGGAAGAAGATGAAGCGTTTGCTGTAGGATGTTTGTTGTTTATTTATTTCATTATTTTTGAAGCCCGTAAGAGGAAAGTCGTGGATGGAGTGTTTGAAGGTTTCATTTCATTCCTACTTTCCCAAAGTGCCAACGGTGTTGGAAAATGGGAAGTGGGTACTTGGAAGTTGAAGCCGCGTTGCTTTCCTCCTCCTGTTTTTTTCTGGCAGTCATAATCCGTTTTCTGAGTCAAGCGGTCTTTCTCAGTTTTCTTTTTGGTCACCGACTCTTACTAATTTAATACTACAAAATTAGATAATAGTTTTAGTATTTGTTTGAATTTAAGTTTGTTATAATTAATTATAAAAATAATTAATTATATTATAACGCAATTGTTTAAATATTAAAATTAATTTTAATTATATAAAGATAATAATTTTTAAAATTAAATTATTAATGAAGTTGTATTTAATGTTATTAAATTTATTAAACTTTAGTTAAGAAGTAAAATATATTATTTAACAGTAAAATTAAATTTATAAATAATTTTTATAATTTATTTTAAAACGTAACTGTGACTTAATAATTAATTATTACATTGTTTACTCTTTGGCCATTTTTTTAAAAATTAATTATTTGAATCTCAAAATTGATTAATATGATATTCCAAATAGGTTGTTAGAAGTTTTAGATTTTGCCGTAGATTGGTTTCGTTTTTAAATTAGTGAGATTTTTCCATTCGAACAAAAAATAATTAGTGAGATTTTTTATAGCCTCTGGTATAAATAAACTACTATATTTTATTTTGTCGTTGGTGTCCTAAGTAGGGCCCACCCGTGCTGTCCGTTGTTGTCATTGTCCTGAGCTGCGCTTGGTTTGACAAAAGGAGAGGAAGAAAGAGAAAGGGAAGGAAAAGAGTTTTATGTTACCTTATTTAATTTTTATTTAATTTAATTGAGAGAAATAGAAAAAAAGTAATACAAATATTTCTCTAATTTTATTTATAATTTATTTTTAATATATTTTATTAAAATAAAAAGATTAAATTTTATTAATTTTATTTTAAAATTTAACAAGTTTACATTATTACTTTTAATATATGTTCTTAAATTTTATTATTAATATTTTTATTTAAAATATTTAATAAATAAAAAAATATAAAGAGAAGTATAAAAATTAACAAGTGTCTATAAATAGAATCATAAAAATATATTATTATATATATATTTTTTATTTTTTTAAGTTCTCTCTTGTTTGAATAATAATAATAACAATAATTTTTAACTCTTTTAAATATATAATAAAATAATAAAAAAATATAATTTTAGTTCCTATAATTTTATTAAATTCTAATTTTAATTTTATAATTTTTTAAATGTTTTCAGTAGATTAAAAATACTAAAAAAAATTAAAGCTATAGAGACTTAAAAAATTAATGTCACTCAATCTTTTTAAAATTATAAAAATAAAAATATACTTACAAAAAATTATAATGATTAAAAATAAAAGTCAATAAAAATACAGGATCGATGATGGGATTTTTAAAATAATATTAGGAGACTTGTTTGAGTAATGTAACAATAACAATAAAATAATATCATCATTCTTGAAACGGACAGCACCAAGTCAACACTTCGAAATTTTAGCCTTTAGCAATCTTCTTGCCAAGGCTACGGTAGACAATAAAAGTTACTTAGCTGCGCCATTGATGGTTTTTTTTCTTTTTTTTCTTTTTTTTTTTATTTTGGGTAAAGGAGAGGCTAAGCCCATAAATTAATTCTGACAAGAGAGGGGGGATTGAGATCCCATACAGTCAATGCTGAACAAAGGCCCTAATGTGAGGAGGGGCACTATCTAAAAAAGAGGAAACAGTTGAAGGTTCTATTGCTAATCCATATGCCCCATTGTTTTGATTCCTCGAGATGTACTCTATTCTAACCTCCCATTAGTGGTATTACTGTGAGGAAAGTTATTCCCTTTGATAACTGGTTTTGATGGTCTCCATTACGACGCAATATTCAGCAAAGACAATGCTTGACCAAACAAAAAAAACCAACAAAATAAAATAAGAGGTTCAGCAGAGAGACAGGTATGGGAACAATAGGAAAATGCCCTACGAGACAAGTTCAGCAACAATGAAAAAGCAAAATGAAGCATGACTACCGTTGGCATTTATGAAATAACAAAGAAATATATCAAGACAATTAATCACAAGATTCGGCTCCCCTTAAAAAATCGGTCAAATTTTTCAATCAAATGAGAGGGAAGGGGCATCCTCCCACAAAAAAAAAAAAAAAAATTTCCCCCAACTAAATACACCATTAATGCGAAACTGATGCCCACAGCATGGGGAAACAATCCAGTCCTATCATATGATAACACCGACAACAAATAAGCTCAATGTAGAAAATTTTTCATCGGCTTCAACTGCAAATAAATTCATCCAATCGTTTGTTGTTGTTGTTGTCTTATCTTGAGCGCTGAGAAATCTCTCACGTCCTTGATCTTTCATTTCTTTTTGTGCCCAGCCTGGCCATGTATAATCTTTTTTAGTATATTGGTGATATATTAATTTTTTGAAGTCCCTGGTAAATAATAAATCAGTTTCAGAGTCAATATATGGGACATGTTGGTCCTTTTTTCAATGAATACATATATTTTGTCATGATGCTCATGATGTGTTGACGAATTCACCATAGTGTTTTTAATATTTTATTATTAATGTGTTAAAGATTTTGTCTCTATAAGTATCATTTTTTTTTTATCAGTACCCACTTTTAATTTTAAAATGTGAAAATAACATATTTTTTTTCCTAAATTCTTTGATTTTAAAATATACATAAAAATACATTTTTAAAAATAATTTGATCTTAAATTAATTTGATATGCTAATTTTAATATAATTTCAGCTTTCAATTTATATTGTAACTATAACTATATGAAACATGATATATTTTTATATAAAGCTTATAATTATTATATTTATTCATTTTCTTTTCTCTTAATTTTGCTGTCCATTCACATGGAAAGGGTGATGATATTTTTCCCTCCATTTTTCTCCTCTTTCCATCTTATTCCTTTTATTTTATTTTTTCCCCTTCAACTTTTTTTTTCCATCCAAATGGAGATAACGGTAGAAAAGTGGAGACCACCCCGCGCCTTATAGCCTTATGATTCCAGAATGCTTGCTAAAGCCAAAACTACAATTAACATTATTTATTTTAACTAATCAAAAAATTACTTTTAAGCTTCCTCCAATGGACTCTCCCTGCCCCAACATAGTTTCGCAGCCCAATATATCATTACTGGCAATGCAATTATATCTTCCCGGACCTTGTTAACAATGCTCGTGTTTTGTTCCCAAAAAAAAAAAAGCGAATGCTCGTGTTTAAAAAAGTGCTGCTCCAGAAGCAAATTTGGGGGATCAACAAGCTGAACAAGTACTCGTGGATGGCTTTGACGAGAGAGCCCAAGTGTAGGGCACATACCCTCCTAAAATCAAGACTTGACCATGATCATTGGAATCTGGCCAACTTAAAAAAAAAACACAGAAAGAAAAACACTGATCATCGCATCGGAAGGAATAAATGAACAACAAAGGAAAGGAGGTTAGACTCCGGTTACTGGGTAAGAGATACTTCTGGTCTACTGATGGAAGGTGAGGGCAGTAAGATTAAAACATGGATGGCAACAAATTTCCAAGCAAATTGATCTTTTCAAATAGATGTCGTTCCGCAATAATGTAAGCTCAGGCATTAGCTTGTCCCCAGGAAACAAGATGAACAAGGTATAAAACTGAACCATGGAAGCAAACTATCTCAGCTACAGTCGCAAATAAAGGATGACAAAATAAAAAAGCTAGAAGATCCATAATCTAATCCTCGTCCTCCTCATCGCCATCTCCACCAGCAGCCTTCTTAGCAGCAGCTCTTTGGTTCTTTCTCTTCACCCTTCCAGGACGCCCGCCACCAACGGACTTGTTAGTGAAAAGTCAATATGCTTCTGTGAATCAACTCTTACCATGAACGATGGGATGTTCACCACCTGCCTTCCAACCCTGCCAGGTCGTAAAATACACCAACAAGCAGTTTCTTCAGGAATTAGTCCCTTGGGAGAGGGTGGGGGAACAAACTTCTCTAATACATTTACTCAAGTGTCGCGAGTGTACAGATGGTAGAAATTTGATAGAGACCACCATCTTGAACATGGTATTATTTGGTGAAAGCAACCGTTTTCCTAGCACTACATCCTTTCTTTTCAGAAAAAGGGTTATCCTTTTGGAGTTCGTTCTTCAATTTTTTTTCCCATTATCCTTAAATTGTCAAGCGTCAATGTACAATTCATAAGATGCATGCACCACCAAATTTCATGAACTGACTAATACAAAAGAATATCATAACTAATTTCTCCTGCCCCACGACAATGACACAGCTATCCAACTTCCAATTTATTTGAATAAAACCATATCATGCTAGCCAAAATCCTCTAAAGTGGCCAGTAAAGCACATAGGGTAAAGGGTATTGTATAGTCTGAAAGATTAGGATCTCCAACTAAGAATTATATTAGCACCATAATCACAATCATGGATCGCTGATAATCATAAGGACTCAACTTCACTTTTGTTTTTTTTATAGAACAAAGAATAAGAGGTGAAAAAGATAACCTGATATGCCTTGCCTTATAAGCACCCTAGCATGGTGAATGGACTTTGCCATCCCAGATTTGAAGACAAGAGTTTGCAGGCGACGCTCAGAAAGTTCTCCACGGTCAAGGCCAAAACATAATCAAGCTTGTTCTGGCTTTCGTCTAGAAGCCCATAACGAAACATCCTTCGAAGAAGAGCTTCGCCCTCAAAGATCCGACGTGGGTTCTTCTCATCGAGGGTCAAAAGCATTCTAGCATTATTACGGATACGGCTCAGAGCGTACTGAACCCTCCACAACTCTCTCTTGCAGCGGAGTCCATACTCTCCCACGAGCCTCAGCTCAGCATCCAACCGTTCCTTCTCGTATGGACGGCGAGGTTTCTTAAAAGTCTTCCCATCTATTTACAAAAAATCAGTGTTATGATTTAGACTATGAAGAGAACCCAGACATCTTCTATAATGATATGAGATGAACAGGTGAATGCACGAAAAGATGGTCCAAGTGATTTCGACATTATCACAAAAAGCTCAGCAGCCAGAAATCAAATCACCGCAGGTTAACCCGATAGATCAGGAC